TCACCTTTCTGTGTGTCTGATTTCTCAGGGGTAAAACGGGACTAGTATTTTCTCTTTCTTTCTTTCTTTTTTGAGATAGAGTTTCACTCTTGTGGCCCAGGCTGGAGTGCAATGGCACAATCACGGCTCACTGAAACTGCGATTCTCTTGCCTCAGCCTTCCAAGTAGCTGGGATTATAGGCATGCACCACCACACCTGGCTAATTTTGTATTTTTAGTAGAGAAGGGTTTCTCCATGTTGGCTAGGCTGGTCTCAAACTCCGGACATCAGGTGATCTGCTGCCTCCGCCTCCCAAAGTGCTGGAATCACAGGCATGAGCCACTGCACCCAGCTGAACTAGTATTTTCTTTACCCTGTAGGACCACTGTGAGGATTACATGAGACATACTAAGGGCTCTGCACAAAGCTTGGCACACAGTAAGGGCTCGAAAAACATTTCCCATTATCATTTTTCATTCATAGATTCCTAAGAGTAAGTTTACTAATGAACCATGTACTCTAGCAATAGTAGAGTCTTCATTCTTTCAATGAGCATTTGTTTTAGTTTTGTTGTTCTTGAAGTTGTTTTTGAGTCAGAGTCTCTCTCTGTCACCCTGGCTGGAGTGTAGTGGCACAATTTCAGCTTGCTGCAGCCTTAGCCTCCCGGGCTCAAGCAATTCTCCCACCTCAGCCTCCCAAGTAGCTGGGACTATAAGCACATGCCACCATGCCTGGCTAATTTTTTACTTTTCTATAGAGAAGGTGTTTCTCCATGTTACCCAGGCTGGTCTCAAACTCCTGGTCTCAAGCAATCTGCCTGCCTTGGCCTCCCAAAGTGCTAGGATTATAGGCATAAGTCACTGTGCCCAGCCTCAATGAGCTTTTATTGAATATTTATTATGTACTAGACACTCTGAGAGAAATATAGTTGATCTAAACCTAGCTCCTATCCCTAGGAACCCATAATCTGTCATCTGAATGGCAAGACCCACTTGCAGACATCACCTCCATATATTATGAATCTGTGTATGGAAGTGATGTATGCCAGCAATATATTATAATTTTTTTTTTTTTTTGAGATGAAGTTTCGCTCTTGTTACCCAGGCTGGAGTGCAATGGCACGATCTTGGCTCACCGCAATCTCCGCCTCCTGGGTTCAAGCAATTCTCCTGCCCCAGCCTCCCGAGTAGCTGGGACTACAGGCATGCGCCACCATGCCCAGCTAATTTTTGTATTTTTAGTAGAGACGGGGTTTCACCATGTTGACCGGGATTGTCTTGCTCTCTTGACCTTGTGATCCACCCGCCTCGGCCTCCCAAAGTGCTGGGATTATAGGCGTGAGCCACCACACCCTGCAATATATTATAATTTTTTTCTTTTTTTTTGAGATAGAGTTTTATTCTATGGTCCAGGCCAGAGTACAGTGACATGATCTTGGCTCACTACAACCTCCACCTTCTGGGTTCAAAAGATTCTCCTGTCTCAGCCTCCCGAGTAGCTGGGATTACAGGCATGTGCCCTGATGCCCAGCTAATTTTTGTAATTTTAGTAGAGATGGGGTTTCACCATATTGGTGAAGCTACTCTTGAACTCCTTACCTCAGGTGATCTGCCCGCCTCGGCCTCCCAAAGTGCTGGGATTACAGGCGTGAGCTACCATGTGTGGCCATATTGTGATATTAATGAAGGCCCTAAAATTGCTGAGAGCACTAGAGAAGAATTGTTTTCAAAAAACTCTTTATTTTGGGCCCGGGTGCAGTGGCTACTAGTGAAATTTCCCCACTGTCTAAAGCCTGGTAGGCTAGGTGTAGTCAGTCACTCACGCCTGTAATCTCAGTGCTTTGGGAAGTCAAAGTGGGAGGGTGGCTTGAAGCTAGGAGTTCAAGGCCAGCCTAGGCAACATAGTGAGATGTCATCTCTACTAAAAATTAAAAAACAAATTGCCAGGTATGATGTCTTACACTTACAGTCCCAGCTGTAGGGAGGCTGAGGAGGAAAGATGGCTTGAGTCTAGGGGTTTGAGCTTGCAGTGAGCTAGGTTCACACCACTGCACTTCAGCCTGGGCAACAGAGTGAGACTCTGTCTCAAAATAAATAAATAAATAAATAAATAAATAAATACAATATAAATAAAAATGTGGGTCAGGCATAGTGGCTCATGCCTGTAATCCCAGCGCTTTGGGAGGCAGAGGTGGGTGGATCAGCTGAGGTCAGGACTTAGAGACCAGCCTGACTAACATGGAAAAACCCCATTTCTACTAAAAATACAAAATTATCTGTGCGTGGTGGCAAATGCCTGCAATCCCAGCTACTCGGAAGGCTGAGGCAGGAGAACTGCTTGAACCCAGGAGGCAGAGGTCGTGCCATTGCACTCCAGCCTGGGCAACAAGAGTGAAACTCTGTCTCAAAAGAAAAAACAAATACATAAAATAAAAAATAAAAACGTGGTCCTTATATATTTTTATAGTAATAAATCAAGATACATTTGAGAATCACATCCTATATTTTGCTGTTAGACTATTAAGTCTCTTTAAATCTAGAACCTCCTCCCCATTACTTTTGATTTTACAACATTGGCTTTTAAGAGATTATGGCAGTTGTCTTATAAACTGTTTCACATCCTGGCTTTGTCTGATTGCTTCTTTGTGTGTTGTTTAACGTGTTCCTCTATCCCCTGAAGTTCTTGTAACTGAAGCTAGTTCTTATAGGCCTCAGATTTAGGCTCAGTATTTTTTGCAGGAGCCAAAATAGGTTGAACTACTCCATCCTATTAGGGGTGAGAAAAGAACTTTCATCTAAGCACTTCAAGTCCTTTTAAATTAATAAATGAGACAGCAATCAAGTCCTACTTCACTTTAAGCTATGTATTCATCTCTTTTTTTTTCTCGCTCCGTTGCCCAGGCTGGAGTGCAGTGGTGCAATATTTGCTCACCACAACCTCTGCCTCCTGGGTTCAAGCAATTCACCTGCCTCAGTCTCCCAAATAGCTGGGACTATAGGCGTGCCCCATCATGCTCAACAGATTTTTGTTATTTTTAGTAGAGATGGGGTTTCACTATGTTGGCCCAGGCTGGTCTCAAGCTCCAGACCTCACACCCACCTTGGCTTCCCAAAGTGCTGAGATTACAGGTGTGAGCCACTGTGCCCCACCTAGCAAGTTGTTTTAAGAGATGAATACTGTGTCAGCAGTAAATGAAACAAAGAAACCTGCTTGTGACTGGTCACAGTAGCTCACACCTATATAATCCCAGCACTTTGGAAGGCTGAGGCAGGAGGATCCCTTGAGCCCAGGAGTTCAAGAACAGCCTGGGCAACATAGTGAGACTCTATCTCTATAAAATAATATAAGGCCGGGTGCGGTGGCTCACGCCTATAATCCCAGCACTTTGGGAGGCCGAGGCGGGAGGATCACGAGGTCAAGAGATCGAGACCATCCTGGTCAACAAGGTGAAACCCTGTCTCTACTAAAAATACAAAAATTAGCTGGGCATGGTGGTGCGTGCCTGTAGTCCCAGCTACTCGGGAGGCTGAGGCAGGAGAATTGCTTGAACCCAGAAGGCAGAGGTTGTGGTGAGCCGAGATTGTGCCATTGCACTCCAGTCTGGGTAACAACAGCGAAACTCTGTCTCAAAATAATAATAATAATAATAATAATTTAAAAATAAAATTAGCTGGTTATGGTGGTGTGTGCCTGTAGTCCCTAGCTACTAGGGAGGCTGAGGTGGGAGGAAATATATCTGTATATGTTTTAAAACCTGCTTTTATGTAACAAAGGCCAAATGGAGCTCATATCCAAGGTTACTTGGGTCTGAGTCTTCTCAGCAGCTGTCCTCACTTTGACTCAAGTAAACTCTTTAAATTATATTTCGTGCCCCAGTCTCTTCCTTTGAAGTTGGCAGGAGGCACTGGATGCTAGCTGTCCCACCGTGTGTGAGGCTAAGTGTGGTCCCTGGGTGATGATAGAGGAGGAAGAACTCTTTACCCTGTTGGCAGGAAGGATAGAAGGCTTCACAGGCAATGGCCTTTGAATTGGGCTTTAGAGGGTGTGCAAGAACCTACTGGGTGGGGAAGGGAAGAGGAAGGGCTTTCCAGGTATGCGTGGACACACAATGTAGGGAAAGACAACGACAAGCTTGAGGAAGTAGGAGGTGGTAGCCAAATGTGGGTTGAGAATTACAACAAGCAGTTAGGGTGAGCTGACTGTTCCAGGAACTATGCTAAGTGACTCAATCCTCAGCCTGTCCTTGGGAATGGGTGCTGCTACCCCCATTTTAAGGATGTGGAAATCAAGGTTTAGCGATAGCAGTAACTGGCCTAAAGTCACATAGCTAGGAACTGGCAGACTTGTGAACCTCTGACTTTAAAATCTCTAAACACCGCCACACGTGTAATCTCAGCACTTTGGGAGGCAGAGGCGGGCAGATCACCAGGTCAAGTGATCAAGACCATCCTGGCCAACATGGTGAAACCCCATCTCTATTAAAAATACAAAAATTTTAGGCCTGGTGGCGCACGCCTGTAGTCCCAGCTACTTGGGAGGCTGAGGTAGGAGAATCGCTTAAACCTGAGAGGCAGAGGTTGCAGTGAGCCATTTAGTACCACTGCACTCCAACCTGGCAACAGAGCAAGACTCAGCCTCAAAAAAAATAAATGAATAAAAATAATAATAATAAAATAAAAAGCTCTAAATACTTCCTTAAGGTGAGGAAGGAACGTGGAGCTGGGGAATGGTGTTGGGAGCAGATGGAGACAGGCCTTCTCCACCATTCTAAGGGGTCTCAGTATTATTCCACCTCGCAAGGGAGCCAGCGAAGGTGTCCTTCGAAAGGGGAGAGCGGGGCTGGGCGTGGTGACTCACGCCTGTATTCCCAGCACTTTGGGAGGCCGAGGTGGGCAGAGTGCCTGAGGTCAAATGTTCAAGACCAGCCTGGCCTACAGAATGGTGAAACCCCAACTTTGCTAAAAATACAAAAATTAGGCCAGGGGCGGTGGCTCACTCCTGTAATCCCAGCACTTTGTGAGGCCGAGGCGGGTGGATCACGAGGTCAAGAGATCGAGACCATCCTGGTCAAGTTGGTGAAACCCCGTCTCTACTAAAAGTACAAAAAATTAGCTGGGCATAGTGGCACGTGCCTGTAATCCCAGCTACTCAGGAGGCTGAGGCGGGAGAATTGCCTGAACCGAGGAGGCGGAGGTTGCGGTGAGCCGAGATCGCGCCATTGCACTCCAGCCTGGGTAAACAAGAGCGAAACTCCGTCTCGGGGCGTGGGGGGAGCCGGGCGTGGTGGGCATGCCTGTAATCTCAGCTACTAAAGAGGCTAAGGCACGAGAATCGCTTGGGCCCGGGAGGGGGAGGTTGCAGTGAGCCGAGATAGCGCCACTGCACTCCCCAGCCTGGGCAGTAGAGACTGCCTCAAAAAATAAATAAATAACTAAAAAGAACGAAAAGAGCAAGCAGGACCGTGCGTGACAACACTCACCCACGGGCCGGTGGAGGAACCAAGGGCTGCCGGGGAGCGCTATCACATTGAAGGATGGGTGCCCATTTCACGTGAACTGCCCCAGGGAACAGGGAAGAGGGTGGAAAGCCAGAACCTCCCGGGCTTTCTGAGGACCTTCAAGCCCAAGGGCAGTGGGGCGGGGCTAGTCTCCGCGGGATCCCGAGCCTTTTCAACGCTGAGCGCCGGGCGGGCACAGAGCGGCCCGGCACCCCGCGGCTTCCAGCCTCCCAGCACCCCGAAAGCCCGGCGGCCAGATCGCAGGGGGATGTGAGCTGCAGAGACAGAGGAAAGGGCCAGCTTTAATCTCCACGGCCCAGAGAGGGGATGAGACTAGCCCAAGGTCACACAGTCAGATCGTGGCGGGGGCAGAACTAGAACTCGGGCCGTATCTCTTGATTGCAAGTCTGCTTCTTTTCTTGATGGAATTTGAGAATCAAAGAGGAATCAAGATACTGTGGCTGAGGGCTCGCAGCTGGGACGCCGGATACTCCGGGGAATTCGTTTTTTTATATCTTATTTTCCCTTTGGGATTTCCTTTGGGAATCCTAAGGACGGCGCGGCGGTGGAAACAGGCTCCAGGCACCCTGCCCCCCCAGGCCGTTGTCGCACAGCACCCCCGCCTGCGTCATTCCAGCTAGGCCTGCGAGTCCTCCGCCCGCCACCATCTGCCTGGAGTCCCTGCTCTCCGAGGCGGCAGACACAAAGCCTCCGCCTGCTGTTCAGTCTTCACTCAAGCAGGGAGGGTGTGTGGAGGCAGTGGCGGGTCCCGCTCTGGGGCCAGGCGGCCCAAGTTCAAGTCTTTGACCTGATACTCACTAACTGTGCGATACTGAGCCTTCACTTTCCCTCTCTGTACTTCCGTTTCTTCATTTTAAATTGGTGAAAAGAACAGTGCTTCATACAGTTGGGTGGGAGGATTAACAAACACAAGGAGTATCAAAGCCTTAGTAAGGGGCTTGCCCCACGACAGAGGCCAGTTGGGTGCTTAATTACCCATAAATCTGACAAACCTTTTCCGGATCCTACATGAAGCCTGCTGCTTCCATGAAGTCCACCCAGATTAACTTCATTCAGTTTAAATCCTTCTTGATTCTCAGTACTTAAAGCATAAAGGCATTGTCTAACTGCAATGGGGTCGCGGGAGCAGGCTTGTGCGTGTGCCCTCCCCTACACCACTAACCTAGATTCAGAAGGCCTGAGGTTTGTAGTCCTCCCCTCCAAGGGCTGCTACTTGATTTCGAGTAAATCGCTTCATATTTTTTTAAATTGTTTTGAGACAGTCTCGATCTGTCTCCAGGCTGGAGTACAATGGCGCCATCTCAGCTCACTGCAACCTCCGCCTCCCGAGTTCAAGCGATTTTCCTGCCTTGGCCTCCCCCAGTAGCTGGGAACTCGCCACCCATACTCAGTACAGGCGCTCACCACCATACTCAGCTAATTTTTTTGTATTTTTAGTAGAGACAGGGTTTCACCATGTTGGCCAGGATGGTCTAGATCTGCTGACCTCATGATCTGCCCGCCTCGACCCCCCCAAAGTGCTGGGATTACAGGTGTGAGCCACCATACCCTGCCAATTTTTATTTTTATTTTTTCGGAAACAGAGTCTGGCTCTGTAGCCCAGCTTGGAGTGCAATAGTGAGATCTAGGCTCACTGCAACATCTGCCTCCCAGGTTCAAGGGCTTCTGCCTCAGCCTCCCAAGTGGCCAGGATTACAGACTCACACCATCAAGCCTGGCTAATTGTTTTGTGTTTTTAGTAGAGCCAGGGTTTCACCATGTTGGCCAGGCTGGTCTCAAATTCCTGACCTCAGGTGATCCACCCGACTCAGCCTCACAAAGTGCTAGGATTATGGGTGTGAACCACGGTGCCCAATACAAAATGTTTTTCCAAAGCATAGTTAATAACTTGGAAAAATGATATCAATATATGGTATTTATTTTTCTCTGAATTTAACTTTTATGTAAACGTTTTATTTTATGTACTTGTATATTTTTTGAGATGGAGTCTCCTCCTGCTGCCCAGGCTGGAGTGCAGGGGCTTGATCTTGGCTCGCTGCAACCTCCACCTCATGTGTTCAAGTGATTCTCCTCCTCAGCCTCCCAAGTAGCTAGGATTACCGGCACCCACCACCACACCTGGCTAATTTTTGTATTTTTAGTAGAGACAGTGTTTTGCTATGTTGGCCAGGCTGGTTTTGAACTCCTGGCCTCAGATGATCCGCCCATCTTGGCCTCTCAAAGTGCTGGGATTACAGGCTTGACCCACCTTGCACGACCTATCCAGCTAATTTTTCTTTTTTTTTTTTTTACATGACATGAAAATTTTTACTTTCAAAAAGAATGTATTTTTTTATTTTTATTTTTTATTTATTTTTTATTTTTTTATTCCCCAGAACCTGAAGTGCAAAAAAAGAATGTATTTTTACATCAATCTGCAACAGAATTCAATTGTAGAAAAAATAAGCTATATTCAGGGATACAGTGCTCAGCACACCACACCCCCTCCCCAAAGTGAGCTGACACCCTGGCTTCACCATATTGGCAAGGCTGGTCTCTACCTCCTGACCTTGTGATCCACCCACCCCACCTCCCAAAGTGTTGGGACTACAGGCGTGAGCCACCATGCCTGGCCCTAGCCTTTCAAAGCTCTGGAATTACAGGCATAAGTGCCCAGCCTCCCAACTTTGTTTTAAAAAAGTGTAAGTACACTTAAAAAAAGTAAACATAAGGAAATCCTCCAACATGTTAACAGTGTTACACCTGGGAGGGAGGATTACTATTGATTATCTTCATCTTAATTTTTCTATATTCTCCAATTTTTTTCAAATAATGTGTTATTTTTATACATAGAAGAAAACTACAATTATTGTAATGGAAATATTGAATAATATATCTGAAAATATTTAAGGCTAAACAAAGGCAGGTTAGATATCACCTATGTTTCAGTAATCAGAAATCTTTGAGATTAAAATTTAGCTTTTTGGGAGTTACACTTATTATTGTTGTCTTTTTGGTTTTTTCCTTTTTATGGAGAACGGGGTCTTGCGATATTGCCCAGGCAGGTCTCGAACTCCTGGGCTCAAGCTATCTCCCGCCTCCGCCTCCCTAAGAGCTGGGATTACAGGCACGAGCCACTCAGTCAGTCCATCATTTCTCTCTGTGAAAGCCTCATGCAGAGCTCTCTGCTTCCTTGGTTTCACCGGCCTTCTTGGCATGGCCTTCTTGGCATGACTTCTTTTAAAGTCAGGCATGGTTCTCCCAAGGGTACCTTGGACAGTGCTCCACGGGACTGGAGAAGACCCCTGAAATCCCTGCAGAGTTACCAGGCTACTTAATTAACTGGCATTTAAGGGTCTGTAGGCTCTGAACCAATCTTCCTTACAACTCCCGTGTGTGTCAATCAAACGGTCTGTCTGCCATCTCCAAAGCCAGAAAGGGGCAGTAATGAATGAAGAGAGCTGCGTGTGATGTCACTGGGAAAGGTGAGGACTGTGGCAAACTGGAGTAAGCCCACACCTTCAAACGAACGGCCACTTCTCAGTGACAGTCTATTGCTATCTGGTGGGGTCTTTCAATTTTTCAAGAGAATTGGAAAAGCTGGATCTTTATGTGAAGTCTGATTTTTAAATAAATATTGGCAGGTAATTCACAAAACACATTTGTCCACTCTGCTGATCACAATTTGCGACGACTTGTCTTAGGAACACATTGAATTTTTTTCCCTCTGCACCTTTTCTTTTGCTATTCCCCAATGCCAAGAACACTCCCCCACTCATCTGAGACTAATGAACTCCATCTGTTCTGTCAGACCCAGGCAAAACACCACCTCTTCCTGAGCATCCCCGCAGCCAGAAGTGACATCGCCCTCCTTGGGGCTGCACCACACATTTAGCTCTGTGCCTGTCTCACTCTATGCTACAGTTGTTACAGTAAGAGTCCCAGCTCTCCTGGCAGAGAATAAGCTCCTGAAATAATTCAGAAAACATTTGTGGAGCACCCGCTATGGTGCAGAAACCATGCTAAGCTCTAGTGATACAGCCTAGAATAAGATGGACATGGTCTTTGCCTTGATGGAAGACAGTCTAGTGTAGGGGGCAGGTTTTAAATAAATAATTTCCAAGATACCTAATTCCAATTGTGATGAGGTGTATGGGGTTAAGAAAGTTTATAAAAGAGACTTAATCCAGGCACAGGAGGATTAAGCAAATCACGAGGTAGCTTGGGGAAGCATTAACAGTAGGGCTGCCACATAAGGTTGTACAGTTTATATGTACAACGCCTGGCAACATAGCAAGACACTGTCTCTAAAATTAAAAAAAAAAAAAAAGTAGAGTTGAGGTCTCGCTATGTTGCCCAGCCTGATCTCAAACTCCTAGCCTCCAGGCCAAGGTGGGAGACCTTGGCCTCCCAAAGTATCGGGATTACAGGTGTGAGCCACTGTGCCCAACTCCTTTTTCTAATCTGCACAAAGGCACTGGATAGACTAGCAGAGGCAGCGTTTAGTTCACCCCTACCCAAAGCTGTTCTAAATAACCTTAGAATCTAAGTAGAAACGGTGACTTCCCCATGTACATGCAGCCCAAAGAGATGTTCCCTGCTCCCCACTTTCTATGCTAACCCTTAGACCTCTGGGATCAGGGAACGTACCCACAAGGAAGTGACATAGGAGCTGAGACTGAAGGATAAGAAGGGGCCAGCCAGCTTGGAGTAGGAGGAATAGCATGTGCAAGGCCTCTGAGGAGAGAAGGTACCATGGCCAAAGGTGGCCATTGTGGTAGAAGCATGGACAGAGATGGGAGAGCATTAAGGGGTAGGCTGGGCAGTGACCACCCTGCACAGCCCAGAAAGCCACATTAAGGGGTGCAATTCTTATCCTGAAATTATCCCTTCCATATTGCACTCCATAACCACGTCGCTTCTTGGTCTTACTGCCCACGAGAGAGTGTGCACAGTGGTAGAAACTACCACGCAGCACGGACTGCTGGGGCCACACATTCATTCTGCCTTTTTTATTCTCCTGAAGTAACTATTCTTTGATTTCCATGGAACAGATGAAAAAATGGAGGCAAAGAGAAGATAAGCAGCCTGCCTGAGGTTAGCTGACTATTAACGGGTAGGCTGGGATCCACTCCCAGGTCTATGGGACTTCAAGCCCTTTCTCTTGGCTGTCATGCAGCAATGATATCTATGAATAGACCAGAAGTGCAAGGAGTCTACAGCCTTGCCACTCAGAGGCAGGGGGTTCTAAAGGCCTGCAAAACTATCACCTGGAAGTTTGTCAGAAATGCAGGATCTAGGGTTCCATCCAGCCCTACTGAATCAGAATCTACACTTAAATTTTTTTTTTTTTTTTTTTTTTTTTTTGAGACAGAGTCTCACTCTGTCACTAGGCTGGAGTAAAGTGGTGCGATCTTGGTTCACTGCAACCTCTGCCTCCCAGGTTCAAGCGATGATTCTCCTGCCTCAGCCTCCAGAGTAGTTGGCACTCCAGGCATATACCACCATGCCCAGCTAATTTTTGTATTTTTAGTAAAGCCAGGGTTTCACCATGTTGGCCAGGATTGTCTCCATCTCTTGATCTTGTGATTCACCCACCTCAGTCTCCCAAAGTGTGGGGATTACCAGCGTGAGCCACTGTGCCTAGCTAAAAATTTTTTAAATCTTTTTTTGTGTGTGTATGACGGATCTCACTGCATTGCCCAGGCTAATGTATAGAAGCGCAAACTCAGCTCCCTGTAGTCCCTACCTCCTGGGCTCAAGGGATCTTCCTGCCTCAGCCTCCCAAGAAGCTGGCACAGGCCTCCATGCCCAACTAATTTTTAAATTTTTCGTAGAGACGGGGATCTCACCATGTTGCCCAGGCTGGTCTCAAATTCCTGAGCTCAAGCAATCCTCCTGCCTCGGTCTCCCAAAATGCTGGAATTACAAGTGTGAGCCACCATGCCCAGCCAGAATCTATACTTTACAGGAATCATGTACACATTAGGAGCTGAGAAGCACTAAACTAGAGAATAAGCAAAGTGGCATACCGCCTCTGCAGCCCTTATGCAACAGCATCTCATATGCCAGGTTTCCAATGACCCGAAAACAACTTATTATAACCAAATATACCAGATTGGCCAACTGTTCCATCCATCTATCCACCCTAGTTTTGTCATCTATTGCCACTCCAAGGGAAAAACTGTGAGACGCTACCATCAACTCCAAAGAGGAGCTGCTGTACACTCCAAATCATCTTCCATTTGGGGGTCTACTCTGATCCCCAGATCATTTTCTGGAACCCACTTTTTACAAAAGAATTCCCTATCTTAGCCTGCATACCAAAGGACGCAGAATGGTTTGGCAGAAAAGATTAGTGGGTGAGGAAATGCAGGGTTCCCCTTCAGCTTTAAGGCCACATGTGACTTTGGGAAATGGCCTACCCTCACTTCCCCATACCCATGTAAAATATGAATGGGGTGGACTAGACTAGGAATCACTGTATATGAGGCCTGGCAGGGAACATAAAGGAAACTCAGTGGCCTAGGTGAAGCAGTAGGGACTGGTGCAGACTGTGGCAAACTAGAAGGTGCAATGCCCTGACTACAAAAAGGTATCCCCACTCAGAAATAGGCTAGTGTTATGGGTAATGCGTTGCCCTATATTCTAATTTTTTAAGTTGGGAATCTGATTTTCCTCCAAGAAATGAGTGATGTTTAAGTACTGGCAACTACGAATAGTTAAAACTTAAGAACAAACACAACACCGTGTGAACCAAATAAAGATCAGGCGCAGGCCAGATCTGTCCGTGGGCCGCCAGTTTGCGATGCCTGGCCCGGATGCCACCCTAATGTTATGTATTAGTTTGCCTGTGCGGCTCTTCCCGAATGCTGCAAAGCGACAGCTGTAGGATGGGGGTTGAGAGGTAAGATCCGTGCCTTTCCAGGGCCTGTCGCCCGTCCCCACCTCGGCCCTGACCCCCTTCCGTGCCCCCTCCCCAGGCCTTTCCGGGAAAGGGCCCTGACGGTGGTGCCGGGTCGCACGGCGTCGCTTGCTTCACACCCTCCCTACCTGCTCGCCAGCTCTCCCTGCACGGCCGGCAGCGCCGCAGCGATGACTCAGCCTCTGGCTGCGAAGCTGAAGGGAGGCGAAGAGGGCGAGGGGGAGGACGGAGACGGGCAGGGCGGGGTAAAAGGAGGCGGGTGGAGTGGAGGGAGGAGGGGAGAAAGAAAGAGGAAAAGGAGCGAGAAGTGGGATTGGGGAGAAGAAAGAGGAAAGGGGGTGGGGAGAAGAGAGGCGGATGGGGGAGGGGGCAGCTCAAGCCCCAGCTCCCGCCTTCTCCCGCTGCCCGCGGAGGTTGGGCTGGGCCGTGGGAGGCCGGTGGGGGAACAGCAGAGAGGGTAGGGCTGGGGCGGAGAAAGGAGGGTGGCGTGCTGTCCCCTCCCTTTTCCCCTCCCCCACTTCGAGAGTCCCGTGGGTACACGTGGTTCATTGCCACACCCACGGACCCACCCCTGCCTCTGTGGGATGGGAGGGGCGGGGGAGGACGCCCCGGAATGCGGCTTCGGACTCTGAACCTTTAGTGAGCGCCTTCCAGCGGAGGCCTGGGGGACTAGGTAGTAAAAAAACGGACAGAGAGGCGGGGTGCGCGGTGGCTCAAGCCTGTAATCCCAGCGCTTTGGGAGGCCGAGGCTGGCGGATCACCTGCGGTCAAGAGTTCAAGACCAGCCCGGCCAACGTGAGAAAACCTGGTCTCTACTAAAAATACAAAAATTATCCGGGTGTAGTGGCGCGCGCCTGTAGTCCCAGCTACTCGGGAGGCTGAAGCACGAGAATCACTTGAAACCGGGAGGTGGAGGCTGCAGTGAATCAAGATCGCGCCACTGCACTCCAGCCTGGGCAACGGAGAGAGACTCTTGTCTCAAAATAAATAAATTAATTAATTAATCAAAAGATCCGGGTGCAGTGACACGTACCTGTAGTCCCAGCTGCTCAGGAGGCTGAGGTAGGAGGATTGCTTGAGCCCAGCAGTTCTGGACTGCAGTGCGCTATGCCGATTGGGTGTCAGCACTAAGTTGGGTATCAATATGGTGACTTCCCGGGAGCGGAGGACCACCAGGTTGCCTAAGGAGGGGTGAACTGGCCCAGATTGGAAATGGGGCAGGTCGAAACTCCCGTGTAGTGGGATCGCGCCTGTGAATAGCCACTGCACTCCAGCCTGGGCAACATAGCGAGACCCCCGTCTCTAAAAAATAAAAAAATAAAAAATAAAAAGAGACAGAGGTGGGACCTTGCAGGGGAGAGGCCAAATCCTCACAGCATATCCACAGGTGGAAATTTAAAGGGAGAAATGAGCCTACTCGATGCATTTTTGCTAGTCTACACCAGTAGCTGTAACACAAAGTTGAATTTGGAAGGCACTCCAAGAAAGTTTCCAAAGTAATGCTTTGTAATACAAATGATGAATGAATAAAATATACTATGGGAGTATGTCTATGTGTATATAAGCGGAGGAATGGAGTTTTCAAAAATACCTTTTTGTGGGGCAGGTGTGGTGGCTTTATGCCTGTAATCCCAGCACTTTGGGAGGCTGAGGCAGATCAATCTCACCTGAGGTCAGGAGTTCAAGACCAGCCTGGTCAACATGATGAAACCCCGTCTCTACTAAAAAAATACAAAAACTAGCTGGGCATGATGGTGGGTGCCTGTAATCCCAGCTACTTGGGAGGCTGAGACAGGAGGATCACCTGAACACAGGAGGTGGAGGTTGCAGTGAGCTGAGATTGCATCATTGCACTCCAGCCTGGGCGACAAGATTGAAACTCCATCTCAAAAAAAAAAAAATCTAAAAAACAAAAATGTCTTTTTGTATGTCTGTTACATATAGGCGTTTGGATGAATATATAGGAGTGTATGTGTGTGTCATTGAATAATGTATGTATATGTATGCCTTATGTATGTAAGCACATTAATATGAGGTTGTGTGCCAAGAATACATTTCTGTGTATATGGACAGGTGTGTATCTTTATATGCCTAGGTGTTAAGTGTGTGTATGAGACCTATGGGCTTTCCTGAGTTTGTATTTAAATATACGCATTTATGTGAATTTGTGGGTTTGTGAATGTGACAGCATACCCTTGCATGTGTGTGGGATTTTTGTGTGTGCCGGTATTGTATAAATGCGTATGTGTATCCAGAACTCCTGTCTGAGATCATGTTATGCTTGTGTGTTTATGTGTGTGCATGCGTATTGTAATACATTTGTGATCAGTCTGTGACCAGGGCTACAGAGCATCTTGAGGTTGCATGTGTGAGTCTGTGTGTATAAATGAGAACGTATGTCTGTTTTTCAGAGTCTTTGTGGATATGACTGAGTCTTGTATCTCTGTAGCCACCCTACTAATCCATTTGTGATAAGGGCCATGGTGATTCTTAAGGGTTGGACTGGTCAAGGCAGCTCCTTGGAGGAGTAGATTCTTGTGGGGTGGAGACAGTGGACATAGGAAGAAGCCAAATGTGTGCTGGCCCACTGAACAGACCACCCAGAGCATCAGGAGGCCAGGCAATCAAAGTGGGCTGAAGCAAGACCAGGGAAGGCGCCGAATGCCAGAACTGGTAATCACAGCCTCCTCTGGCATCTTCCCCACTCTCTAGCATTGGATCAGTTTCTCTCATGGCCCTCCTCAGGGTCTACCAGGTCAGTGCCCTTCTGTAGAGTGCATGTCCTTGGTAATGAACATAGCAACAATGATAGAACACTACTATGAGCCAGCATGCAGAAAGCACTTAACAGGCAATAGGTCAGCTCTGTGAGGCAGAAACTTGGTATGCCAGTTTTACAGAGGGGGAGCAGGAGGTTAAGCACCTGGTGATGCAGCTGGTTAGGGGGTCCTGGGATTCCGAGGCTCCATGCCCTCTCAACCACTTTTGACATTTTGGGCCAGATAATTCAGCGTTGTGGTGGCTGTCCTGTGCACTGTAGCATGACTAGCAGCATCCCTATGTCCACCCAGTAGATGCCAGTAGCACTCTCTAGCTATGATACCCAAAATGTCTCTAAACATTTCCAGAAGTCTACTGGGGACAAAATCAGCCTAGATTGAGAGCCACGGCACTACAGCGTCCTGCCTCCCTGCATATACATTTTCTGAGGGGTTGCACCAACTCCACCCTGTCCAGTGGTTTCAGCTGTCCCTCTTCTTCCTTTTATTTATTTATCTATTTATTTATTTATTTATTTAATTTTTATGTTTTGAGGCAGAGTCTCACTCTGTCACCCAGGCTGGAGTGCAATGGTGTGATCTCGGATCACTGCAAACTCTGCCTCCTGGATTCCAGCCATTTTCCTGCCTCAGCCTCCTGAGTAGCTGGGATTACAGACATGCACCACCATGCCAAGCTAATTTTTTGTATTTTTAGTAGAAAAAGGGTTTCACCATGTTGGCCAGGCTGGTCTCAAACTTCTGACCTCGTGATTCACCTGCCTTGGCCTCCCAAAGTGTTGGGATTGCAGGCGTGAGCCACTGTACCCAGCCTGTCCCTCTTCTTTCACAGTAATCTTCATGTTCATGCAGTAGCTCCTTGTCTTTGCCATAGTCAACAGAAGGCCTACCAGCCAGGCCACCTTTCCCAGGAACTCAGCCTCTCTGACTTCCAGGCACAGAACACACAGAACCCAGCAGACACCTCTATAGCTCTTATTATTTGAATCACAGGAGTTCCCTGGAGTCAGCACCTAGAGAAGGAGTGCTCCAAACCTGCTGACCCTCCTTGGTCCAGAGCTGTGGACACTGCTGGTTCTATGAGTTTGTTTCCCTGGTGAGTAAGAATACTAGAGTATGGCGTTGTGCCAAAATGGGTCCCATTTTATGCTACTATACCTTACTCCATTGCCCAGGCTGGAGTGCAGTGGCATGATCATGGCTCACTGCAGACTTGACTTTCCAGGCTCAAGGGATCCTCCCACCTCAGCCTCCTGAGTAGCTGGGACTAGGTGCAGTCCACCATTTTCAGCTAACTTTTGTACTTTTGGTAGAGAGGGTTTCACCATGTTGCCCAGGCTGGTCTTAAACTCCTGGGCTCAATCTATCCACCCTCCTCCACCTTCCAAAGTGCAAAGGGATTACAGATGTGAGCCACTGTGTGCAGCCATCTTACCCTGTTGCATCTTTGCAAATGAAATGGCCTGGCTTTCCCCTCTGGCAGACCCTGATTTTTTTTTTTTTTTTAAGACAGAGTCTTGCACTGTCACCCAGGCTGGAGTGCAATGGTGCAATCTCCGCTCACTGCAACCTTTGCCTCCTGGGTTCACGCGATTCTCCTGCCTCAGCCTCCCAAGTAACTGGGATAACAGGTGCACACCACCACACCCAGCTAATTTTTTGTATTTTTAGTTGAGATGGGGTTTCATTATGTTGGTCAAACTGGTGTCGAACTCCTGACCTCGTGATCCGCCCACCTCAGCCTCCCAAAGTGCTGGGATTACAGGCGTGAGCCACTGCACCCAGCTCAGACCCTGATTTTAATAAGCCAGTGCTGGCCGGGCACGGTGGCTCAAGCCTGTAATCCCAGCACTTTGGGAGGCTGAGGCAGGTGGATCACAAGGTCAAGAGATCGAGACCATCCTGGTCAACATGGTGAAACCCCGTCTCTACTAGAAATACAAAAAATTAGCTGGACATGGTGGCGCGTGCCTGTAATTCCAGCTACTCAGGAGGCTGAGGCAGAAGAATTGCCTGAACCCAGGAGGCGGAGGTTGCGGTGAGCCGAGATGGCGCCATTGCACTCCAGCCTGGGTAACAAGAGCGAAACTCCATCTCAAAAATAAATAAATAATGAGCCAGTGCTGTGTTGCGGGCATAGCAGGTGTTCAGAAATGGCAAGGCAGAGCTGTCAGCAGGCTTCTTGGCATGTCTAAACCCAGGTCTCACCAGGGCGTCCATGCTGCTGTGGGACTCTGCCACTGTAGCAGCTCAGAGTCCCGGGGAGCTGGTGCTAGAGAGTGTGCTGGTTAAAAAAACTGTTCTAACCCAATGTAAAGAAACTAAGGACTTTGAAAAAAGGTTTGACGAAATGCTAACAAGAATAGACAATATAGAGAGGAATATAAATGAACTAACTGAGTTGAAAAACACAACACGAGAACTTAGCGAAATATGCACAAGTTTCAATAGTCGAATTGATCAAGCAGAAGAAAGGATATCAGAGGTGGAAGACCAACTTAATGAAATAAAACAAGAAGACAAGAATAGAGAAAAAAGGATAAAAAGAAATGAGCAAAGTCTCCAAGAAATATGGGACTACGTGAAAAGACCTAATTTACGTTTGATAGGTGTACCTGAATGTGACGGAGAGAATGAATCCAAGCCGGAAAATACTCTTCAGGATATTATTCAGGAAAACTTTCCCAAACTAGCAAAGCAGGTCAATATTCAACCCCAGGTAATACAGAGAACACCACAAAGATATTCTTCAAGAAGAGCAACCCCAAGGGACATAGTCGTCAGATTCACCAGGGTTGAAATGAAGGAGAAAATACTAAGGGCAGCTAGAGAGAAAGGTCAGGTTACCCACAAAGGGAAGCCTATCAGACTTACAGCAGATCTCTCAGCAGAAACCCTACAAGCCAGAAGAGAGTGGGGGCCAATATTCAACATCCTTAAAGAACAGAACTTTCAGCCCAGAATTTCATATCCTGCCAAACTAAGCTTCACAATTGAAGGAAAAATAAAATCTTTTATGGACAGGCAAGTACTCAGAGATTTTATTACCACCAGGCCGGCTTTGCAAGAGCTTCTGAAAGAAGCATTATACATAGAAAAGAACAACCAGTATTAGCCTTTCTAAAAATATACCAGAAAGTAAAGAGCATCAACATAAAGAAGAATTTATATAAACGAATGGATAAAATAGCCAGTTAACATCAAATGGCAGTAACCCGAAATTTAAGTCGACTAAATCCCCCAATCAAAAGATACAGCCAAAACCAAACGGTATGCTGCATCCAGACCCATCTCACATCCAAAGATACACAAAGACTCAAAACAAAGGGGTGGAGAAAGACTTACCAACCAAATGGAGAGCAAAAATAAATAAACAAATGAAAAGCAGGAGTTACAATTCTTGCATCTGATAAAATAGATTTCAAAGCAACAAAGATATAGTGGTAAAAGGATCAATGCAATGATAAGAGCTAATGATCCTAACACCCAGATACATAAGACTCATAAAGAGATTTAGACTCAAGGAGACAGAAAATTGATGAGGACAACCAGGACTTGAACTCAGATCCAGAACAAGTAAACTTAATAAATATTTATAGAGCTCTCCACTTTAAATACACAAAATATACATTCCCCACTTTAAAAACACAAAATGTTGTTTGGGCATTATTAATACCCATTTTTAGAATAAAGCAATATTCCCATTCTCTCTCCCTCTTTTTCTTCCTCTTTCTTCCTCTCCTTCACTCCTTTTTTTCTCTTTCTTTTCTTCTTTTAAAAAAATAAAATAAAATAAAATAAAGAGAGTGTGGTGGCTCAGCTATGCACACAAGAGGCCCCACTATCCCACTACAGGCAAGACAGACAGATGGTGGTACTCACAGAGGACTCCATGCCACCACTGTGTCTGCCACTTGGGAAAGTCTCTTTTCCTCTAGACTGTTCCTTTACTGCATGACCTTGCCTCTGCCCCTTCTCCTTAATCTCCTCAATCCCCGAAGTGTTCCTAGTGTTTGCAGGGCCCTTCACTCCATTCCTCTTGGGATGCTGCAGCAAAGTGGTTAAGCGTGAGGGTTCCTATACCTGATTACCTGAGTCTGTGTAATCTTGGGCAAAGCACTTCATCTCTCTGTGGCTCGACTTCCTCATTTCTAAAATGAGGAAAATTAAAAGGCCCTATCTCACAAGATTAATTGAGATAGTACATGTAAAGGATGCTAGCCATGTGGGAAGCCCTTACTAAATAGTAGCTATCATTATTATTATTATAATTTGAGACAGTCTCACTCTGTTGCCCAGACTGGAGTGCAGTGGTGTGATCTCAGCTCACTGCAACCTCCACCTCCTGAGTTCAAGTGATTGTCCTGCCTCAGCCTCCCAAGTAGCTGCGATTATAGGCATGTGCCAACATACCTGCCTAATTTTTGTTTGCTTGTTTGTTTAGTAGACAGGATTTCACCATGTTGGCCAGGCTGGTCTCAAACTCCTGATCTCAGGTGATCTGTTCACCTGGACCTCCCAAACTGCTGAGATTACAGGTGTGAGCCATCACACCCAGGCTAGTAACTGTCATTATTGCTATTCTTCTTCTTTTTTTTTTTTTGAGACTGGGTCTTGCTCTGTCACTCAGGCTGGAGTGCAATGGTGCAATCAGTAATCACTGCAGCCTCAACTTCCTGGGCTCAAGGGATCCTCCCACCTCAGCCTCCCAAGTAGCTGGGACTACTGGCAAGTGCCACCAAGCCCAGCTGATTTTTTTTTTTTTTTTTTGAGATGGAGTTTTGCTCTTGTGTCCCAGGCTGGAGTGTAGTGACACGATCTTGGCTCACCACAGCCCCCACTTCCCAGGTTCAAGCGATTCTCCAGCCTCAGCCTCCAAAGTAGCTGGGATTAAGCATGTGCCACCATGCCTGGCTAATTTTCTGTATTTTTAGTAGAGATGGGGTTTCTCCACGTTGGTCAGGTTGGTCTCAGACTCCTGACCTCAGGTGATATAACTGCTTCAGCCTCTCAAAGTGCTGGGATTACAGGCGTGAGCCAATGTGCCTGGCCAATTTTTTTTTTTTTTTTTTTTTTTTTTTTTTTTTGGTAGAGATGAGGTCTTGCTATATTGCTCAGGCTGATTTTGAACTCCTGGGCTCAAGTGATCCTCCTGCCTTGACTTCCCAAAGTTCTGGGATTACAGGCATGAGCCACCACACCAGGCTATTGCTATTATTTCTGATTAACCATAAAAGGAAAATGAGCTCTTACTAATTGCCAGGCAATGTGCTAAACTCTGGACTATTGATCCTTTTCTCATTTGATCCCTTCAACAACTCTATGAGGAAAGTGCTATTATTAGCCCCATAGCTAGGAAGAGGAAGCTCAGGTACAATGGTGTTAAGTAACTTACCCAGGATGACAGAGCCAAGAAGCAGCAGCTCTGGATCTGAACTGAAGTACTGCCACTGTGAAGACTCACTACCTGCTCCTCTCCACTGAAAGCAGATTTCACCATAGGAAGAAGGAGCTTCTCTCCAGCTGGTTGTCCTGGATAGATTTGAGAGACCTTTAAGAAGATGGTGTTGAGGGGACAGAACCCCCACACCCCCAACTAGAGCAGAAGGAGGGGTTTGGGCTCAAAGAAAGTGAAGTGCTTTGCTTTTCAGCTATTGATGAAACCACTTAGCACGGCAGGCTGTGTGTAGTCTCATGGATGACCTCCAAAAGGTATCATCAAGTTTTTTTGTTCTTTTTTTTGAGACAGTCTTACTCTATCACCCAGGCTGGTGTGCAGTGGCTTGATCTTGGCCCACTGCAACCTCCGCTTCCCAGGTTCAAGTGATTCTCCTGTCTCAGCCTACCTAGTAGCTGAGATTACAGGTGCGTGCCACCATGCCTAGCTAACTTTTTAAATTTTTAGTAGAGACAAGATTTCAACATGTTGACCAGGCTGGTCTCGAACTCCTGATTTCAAGTGATCCACCCACCTCAGCCTCCCAAAGTGCTGGGATTACAGGCATGAGCTGCCATGCCTGGTCTTTTTTTTTTTTTTTTTTTTGTGACAGGATCTCACTCTGTTACCCAGGTTGGAGTATAGTGGCACAATCTCAG